GCAATGTCGCTGAGGCGATGCGACGTAGCCTTATATATATATATATATATATATATATATATATATATATCGAGCGGTATATCGCTCGGTATACAGTTTCATATCATACCGAGCGAACGTCGAAACTTCGGTACAGTACGAAATTGCATACCTTGCTTCAAACATATTTGCGAGTCAATGGTTACTGTAGATAAATGGTCATCTATTTGTATTTGTTGTTTCCAATAGTAGAAACCTTGCTAGGACAAACTAAAACAAAATTTTCTTTATGATTTTATCTACAAATTTTTACTAGAAACACTCTCCAGATAAATATCATGTGTAAACTTTGATATGATGGTTGATATATCACCCATAATATGGTTTGCTTTATGAAGTAAAATCTCATTGTTTGATTGTTTTCATTATCTTTGGTACTAATGTACTTAGTTTTTTTAATGATTTTTATTGATAATCCCTGCTCATCATGCACATATGCTAGACAGTGGACTTTTCATTTGACCTGCTTCAAGATATACTGACCATGCTGGGAATTTTATGTTGATGTATCTTACACTCTAGAACTTTGTATAACTTAGCCTTATATATAGCAATAGAAAATTGATCTTCTAATTGAAAAGTTATCATATACTTGGAATAAGAACCAAAGAAAATTAGAAAAAAAATGAAATCATAAATCATATCTCCCCCATTTTCTATATTTGCAAGTGGTGGTGACTTACTGTTCCTTTTATCATGTGATCATCTCACCCACATCTAGTGACTAAGATGAATGAGTTGAACTAAATTGCCACTTCGACAAGTTGTTCATCTGTGGTCTTTGCAGAGTGGAAAATCTGCTGCCATATATGCCTGTGCAAAAGAGCAAGGCTTTATAATAATTGAGGTACTCTTGATTTCTTTTGCCTTGTGTTAAAATACTTGTTTTGCATACAATTGTTTCATTAAAGAATGTTAGAAATAGAATATCATTCAACCTTTGCCATATGTAAGCTGGTGAGAAAAAATAAATTTGACAATCTTAAATTTGAGTTTTGTTTACAATTTTCTTTATGTACATTTTCTAATGTTGGTTAAAAGTAACCTGAACACTGATTGATGTAGAACACAAAGCAAGAGAGCAAGTGAGGAGTGAGATTAGAGAGGAGTGTAAGAGACTAGAAGAGTAGAGAAATGCAAGTTTTTTCATTCAAATTTGAAGTGTTTGATCCATTGACAAGCTCCACTATTTATAGGAGTTTAGGAGCCTTCGTACAATTAATGCAGGCAATGATTTCCAAGAGTAAACTCATAGGGAACTTGTATGCCCTTAAGAAATAAAAAATATAACTTCAATGAGACCTAAACAACTTTAAGACAATTTATTACTGCTGAGAAGAAAAATAGTATACTTAATACAAAAATAGAGTCCCAAGGTTAGTACCTAGAAAGGGCAAAAGATTCTTTAATTTTGCACAATTCTTAGAGTTTCTAAGCCAACTTGTAACACCATGATTAGTCTTACAGTAAAGATGGGCAAGATTAAGATTGACTTATAAGGGTTTGATGAGTGTATTATTATCAACTTCAGCTTAAGTATTTTGATCAGTGGTTTAGGTTAAACGAAGTTGATGGGCTAGTTAGCTTATCAGGCTTGGGTCGTGACATTTGATATCAGAGCCGACTTAGTACTGGAGCATAGTAAGGGACTTGAGTAAGAAAGTGTTATTCGTGGATGGAGTTAGATGACTCATCACGGAGTGGAACCACCACTAGGCTACGCTTCACATGCACCATGCTATGGTTTAATCTGGACTATGCTGGGCCTTGACGAGGATGTCAAGCTCTTGAGTGGGGGGAAATTGTAACACCATGATTAGTCTCACATTAGAAGTGGGCAATATTAAGATTAACTTATAAGGGTTTTGATGAGTGTACTACAAAAAATTCAGTTTAAGCATTTTGATCAGTTGTTTGAACCAAACAAAGTTGATAGGCCAGTTAGCCTATCAGGCTCGAGTCGTGACATTTAATATCAAAGCTGACCTAGTATTTGATCATGGTAAGGGGGCTTAAGTAGGAAAGAGCTACCCGTGGATTAAGTCAAAGGATTCATCATGATTTGGAGCCATCATTAGGCTACGTTTTACATGCACTATACTAGGGTTTGATCTGGGCTATGTTGGGTCTTGACAAGGACATCAAGCCCTGAGTGGGGGAAATCATAACACCTTGATTAGTTTCACATTAAAAATGGGTAAGGTTAAGATTAGCTTATAAGGGTCTAATGAGTGTATTACTATTAATTTCAGCTTAAGTATTTTGATCAGTGGTTTAGGTCAAACGAAAATGATAAGTCAGTTATCCCATCAGGCTTGGGTCGTGACAACTAATTAATGACTTTTTTATTGATTTCTTTACTTAGAATAAATCCTTAAATCCTTTAAAACTAGATGATTTCTCCATCTTTATCCCCAATTGGAAAAGAATTTGACCTTAGAGAGTGATTTGCAAGATCTTGGTCCAATAATCTAGTGCAAAGTCACGAAGTTCCTTCAAAATAATCTGACAACGGAAGCTAGACGATTACACTACTTGACAAGAAAGTGTTGAGTGATGCTATTAGTAGACGTAATAAGACAATAATCAAGAATAGCCTCTACATTATCTTGTGTTGTGAGAGAGTCGGTGCTTTGGGAGGATTATCATCTGCAAGAACATTGGTAGACGGAGGCGGCTCAAAAGTACCATGATATGGAGTTGAATCCTTCATAATAAAAGCTAAACTTATATTTAAATCGGAAGGTATATCGAGCATGCATGCATTAGATTCTAGTTTTTGGACGATGAGGAAAGGACCAACGGATCAGGCTTGCAACTTCTTAAAATGAGATTTTAGGGAATCTCTTAGGGCAAATGTGAACCAAGACATAATCATCAACTTGAAACTCTTAACTTCTATGATGTTCATTAACAACAAGTTTGTAACTTTTATTATTTATGACAATTTTATGTTGAATCTTAGTATGCAAATCATGAATATGTTGAACGAAGGAGTGGGCTAGTTCTGCGGCAAGTGGAAGGGGTGTATAAGCCAGGATTGTGTTTGTGAGTTTTGACAATTTGATACGTGCGACATTGTGACACTATTTGAGCAACATATCGCTTTAAGGGAGGCTAGTAAAATCTATCCTTACTAATACAATAGTCTTGTCTTGGCCTAAGTGACCTGTTAATTCGCTCGCGCGCATTTCCCAAACAAGGAGGTCTCGAAGGGAGGATTTGGGAACATAATCTAGTGGATCGAAAAAGGTAACCATCCTTAATAATAAAGTTGATATATTTATGAAGGTTTCCATCTTAGACTTCTTGGTAGATCTGGGTGAAGTCTAGACATTGGATATACTCTTCTTTTAATCGTTCGAATCCTGTCAGAATCCTATGACCTTGACACTCATGGTAGATAGGATTGTAGAAACTTGACTAAGGGCATCAGTAGCTTTGTTTTGAGTGCTAAAACAATGTTTAATTACAAAAGAGTTTCATTGAGAAACTTAACCCACTTGGCATATCAGACATTTAACTTCTTTTGGGTATTTGAGTACCTTAGAGCTTGGTGGTTAGACAACAAGACAAACTCTTGTGGTTAGACAACAAGACATTGCACAATTGTATAGAATTCTTTGTCATAGGTTGTATAATATTGTTTTGCATCATTGAGTTTCTTGTTGAAAAAGGTGATAGGTTGACCCTCTTGACTTAGAATTCTTTATATGCCTATACTAAGGTGATAGGCATCACAATTGACCTCAAAGGGTTTACTAAGTGTGCCTAAGAACAGGAGCGATGGTCATTCTCATTTTGATGTTAACAAAGGCCTTGGTAGTAGCCAGGGTCCAAGAAAACTCACCATTCTTTAGACAATCAATGATAGGTGCCATAATGGAACCGAACCCTCTAATGAGCTTCCTATAGAAGGAGACTAATCTATGGAAACTTTGAACCTCAGAAAGGGTTTTAGGTCTATGACACTCTAAATGATGTAGTTATTTTTTGGATCAGTGATAATACCTTGGGCAGAAATGATGAAGTTGAGGAATATTGCATGAACGAACACTTTTTCATATTGACATAGAGCTTAGCAACTTGAAAGGTAGTAAGAACTTGTCAAAGATGTTCTAAATGAGTCTCTTTGGTCTTACTAAAGATCAATATGTTGTTAAATTAAACTATAACAAATTTGCTTATGTAGGGTTGTAAAACTTAGTTCATAAAGCACATGAAAGTGCTTGGGGCATTGGATAGACCAAAGGGCATGACTAGCCAATCGAATAGGCCAACTTGAGTCTTGAATGTTGTTTTCCATTCGTCTTTAGGTCTAATACAAATCTGGTGGTATTCGCTTCTTATGTCAATTTTGGAAAATCAACTAGATCCGACAAAAAGGTCTAGTATATCCTTAAGTCGAGAAATCGGGAAACGATATTTGATTGTTATCTTTTTAATCGCTCGGCTATCAACACACATCCTTAAAGACCTATCTTTCTTTGGGTTTAACAAGGCAGAAACAACACAAGTACTGAGGTTGTGTCGCACAAATCCTTTAGCCAAAAGTTCTCCAACGTGCTTATTTAACTTAGCTCTTTCCTTAAGATTCATCTTGTAACGTGGGAGATTTGGGAGTTGTGATCCTAGGACAAGGTCAATAGTATGTTGGATATCTCTTAAGGGTGACAGTTCACTAGTTAATTCTGAAGGTATAATATCAGAAAATTCATCTAACATGGTCTTAACATCAGGAGTTAGGTCAGGAGTATTACAGGGGCTCGAAATTTCTCTAGCAATAATAGTCACACAAAATTTGTTTATACTCTATTTTAAAAAAATTAAGATCCAATAAGTGTTGGGGGTTGTGGATGGGACTTGGGGCTTTTATATTTGTCCTTTTTTGAAGGTTTCATTGGTCACAATATGATGTTTTACCTTTGTATTGAAAGATATGTGTTTTCTCGCTTATGATTGGTAACATCGAGGTCATACAATCAAGGTCAACCTATAAGAATGTGGGCAATGCCCTTTGGTAGAACGTTAGAATAAACCTCATCTTGGTAATCATTTATTTTCATTTTTGATTGGTACCAGGAACCTCTTAGTTGCATGTAAAGTGGTTTTGTCAACTCAGGTTATCTTGAATGGTGTCGAATGTGATTGTACCATAAGGTTTAGTCTCTTGATAGTAGATTTTGAGATTATGTTCATAGTGTTACCCCCATCTATAACCAACTTGCAAGTTCTCTTCTTGGTTCAGATAAAAGTTTGAAAGATACTTGTCCTCTTCTATTCATTGGAATCACTAGTAGTAGAGAGAATGATGCAAACAACATTGACATGAGCATCTTCAATTTTTTCATCACTTGAGTAGGCTTCGGGTTCAACTACTTGGTCTACTTTCTCGATTTGATCCTCTAGTTCTTGTTTTAAAGTAAGGGTATGTTGAGGACAACAAGAGACAATGTGACCTTTATATGGTAGTAGTGACATTGGATTGAAGATAAACTAGTTTGAGAATCAATGACCAAACGAGTTAAACGATTCATGGGTGGGCTAGGACTTTTGCTAGTAGTGGTTTTTTTTTGCTTGACAAAGCCACTACTTGGGGGTAGATTTGGAAATAGTTCTATTGTTGCGAGATTGAGAAGATGCTTAATGAGTCAGATAAAGTTTGAGGTACTTCTCAATCTCAAGGGCTCATCGGGAAGCTTCCTCTATAGTGTTAGGGAAACTAAGAGAGACTTCTCGTTGGATGTCAGGCCTTAACCTATTAACAAATCTTCAGACAGTGATGATTTGATCCTCCTCCATTTCATACCCAAGTAAAAGTTCCTCAAATTGAGCCAAATACTTTGCCACACTAGAATTCAACTTAAAAGGTTTAACAATTGTTCAATCAGTTAGCATCGAAGTTAGGGACAATCACCCTAAAGTCCAAGTCCACACGCAAGGGATTGACATGGGAGGTGCTAGGATCCATGAGTGGTGGCATTGTTTATTGAAGCTTTTGCTGCTAGTTGGGACTCACTGAGGTACAAGGCAGGTTTTTGATGAGCTCTAACACCAAACTGATGTCGAACGGAAAGAGCGAAGTAGATAGGAAGTAAGAGCAAGAGAGCAAGAGAGGAGTGAAATTGGAGAGGAGAGTAAGAGACTGGAAGAGTAGAGAAAATGCAAGTGTTTTCATTCAAATCTGAAGTGTTTCATCCATTGACGAGCCCTAATTTATAAGGGTTTAGGAGCCTTTGTACAATCATTATAGGTAATGATTCCTAAGAGTAACCTCCTAGGAAACTTGTATGCCTTCAATTTTCAACACAACCCTTAGAGTTTCTAGGCCAACTAATTAATTATTTTTTTTGTTGATTCCTTTGCCTAGAATAAATCCTTCTTAAATCCTTTATAAAGCTAGATGGTTCTCCATCACTGATATGTTTCACATTTGAACGTTAGCATTAAGTAAAAGTTCTCAAATATGTCCAGTATTGCTTTCTGTGCATTATAGTAGTGATATAAAAGAATTTCGATTCACCTTATCTAATGGTTACTGAAGTCATCTTAGGCATCTGATAAATCTATTGTGTGTCAGGGGAAAATAGCACAGCAGGTAGAGGCATAAGACTATTCATGTCATGTTCACCTGTTTGTGTATTGTATTTGCTGTTCTGTGCAGGGTGTGGACACAGAGCAAGCACTGGGTTTTCTTTTGGAAGTTCTCTGGCATTTGACTTCATACATGCACACTTCTATCCCATGACTGCCATGGTCCTATTGTATGGACTATGGACCCTTAATTTTTGCTTAGGAACTTTTTTGTGAGTTGAAGTCATTGTGCTTTTCCTATTTTCTTTCAGACTGGATTTCAGTATCAACCTCACTTGCACTGTAACATGGGCCAACAGAAAAGCAAATGAGAGAACTATGAAATCAGCGACCATGGCACTCCATTTCCTGCTCATTATATCTCTTCTGTTTGGAGCTCCAATTCTTTCTTTCACATAATTGTTCTCTGTTGGCTGATCTTTCTTATAGGTTTTTACAATAGCATATTGAGTCATGTTTTCTCATGCATTCGCTCATACAACATTGGGATTCTGAACTTGGACTGAGAAACCATATCTGATACGTTGGAGAAAACCTTGACAAGTTCAAATTTGTGTTAAAGATTAGTTGCTTGTCACGTGTAGGGTATTGCCTGCTATCTCAGTTCATATTGGTATTAAATTTTCATCTATTTGAGGACAAAATCTCGGGACCTTTTGGATCAAAAAGGAAAAGGATATTAGAGGAGACACTATACTTCGAAGGTGCCTTGAGCTACACTGGATATCCTCTCTCTTTGTAAGGAAGACTGGAGCTTCTTCTATGCTGCAACTATTTGGCATTCCAGTTGCTTCAAAATTTGGATTTTCTGTGGCATGAACATGACAATAAGACTTTTGTTGGTGGTGTTGATCATAGGGCATAATTTGCAATACTGTTCAGTATAGTACAAGCAGTGTTTACTGGTCGAGCAGCCTATCGGTATGTGGACTAAGGTAAATTGGATGGTTCGGTCAATACAGGGGCCTGTACCATCTGGTATGATCAGTATAAGGTCTGTGCTCCCTGGTACAGGATGATATTTTTTACCATATATTAGGTAGTCTCTTTTTTTCCTGTTTTCTTTTAGGCTTTTTTTTGAAACTCAGTACATGGAGGTGTATTTATTCTCGGTACACCGGTAGGTAACATTTTGAGTCCTAACCGTGTACAATATCAGTACATGAAATTGCAAACCTTGATACAACATTTATATTTCAGTATGATGCCTGGCCCTTGAGTTTGTTTCGTTATCTAAAAAGGCAAGCCTGTTCAATGGTAGCATATAAATCTAGTTACTTCTTTTTGAATAATTCCCTTTAATAATTTTATGTTGTTAACTCTTGCTTTCTATATGTATACTGAGAAATGCTTGTGATCAACATTCTTTTGCATACTGGAAATGGTAAAAGTATAGCATGGACCATGGGATATTAAGTTCAAGAGCCAAAATTGAAACTTTGTGCACTAGAATGGTTGAAACCCATTTCTGTCTTTTGTGATACAAGATAATCCTCTCTTAAGAGTAATGATGCAGTAATAGTTTCTATTTGTTTTCTTTGCCTGGAATTGGAGCAAGTCAATTTCAGATGGAAAATGCCAAATAACTAACATGCTTAAGACTTGTATATAGATCTCACAATCTTGATCATTAGTTACTTTTATCATTTTACTCTAGATCAAAAGTCACTGATGCCTAGTTGCTTTTTGTTTCTGTTTTGTGCTTACAACCTCTAATTCTTTAACAGGCTAATGCATCTGAATTGAGAAATGGGGCAAATATAAAGCGCAAATTTCAAGAGGCAATGGGATCACATAGATACAACAGATGGTTTATTTAAACTTTCATAGCATGCCTTTTTTGCTTCTCATTTGCTACCTTATTTGTTTTGTGCTTAAACCATGCGGTCTTCCTTGATCATTTGTTCCATCTAGTTAAATTTGGCTTTAGTTAACTTTTATAGCATCCCTTTATATGTTTGCATGTTTTTTTCTTATTGTACACATTTTTTGAAGTTTTTCTGAAATGTTTCTGTATCACTAGGGTAATTGATTGGTCTAATTTGTTGATAGCTAAAATTAAGCAAGTTACTCCGAATTTAAAGCATTAGTTGGTGCTAGAACCCTTGGTTTGTAAGATTTTGTAGTCATAGCAAGAAGTTTTTTGATCATGCCTAACTCTCACTTATTTAACTTGGCTGTTGACTTTGAAATTTGATGTCTGAATCAGTGATTTAAAAAGCGCTAGGCGCCAAAAGGTGCTAAGGTCCAAAAACGCCCGAGGCGCTAGGCGCTCGCCCGAGCGAAGCGAGGCGCTAAAAATATATAATATAATTAATAAATATAATTATTTAAAATTTTAAATAAAAATATGTTATTAAATTAAGAAAATCTAAGATACAAAATCATAATGTCACATTAACAAAAAGTTTCAAAATTCAAAACAATAAAATTTTATATCAAAGTCATTCATCATAATTAATATTATCGTCATTTTCACACAAATCATCTTCATTGAATTCGTCCTCTTTCTATTGTCCTTCGACTCCTTCATCAAAATATGTTTCATTCTCTATGTCTTCAACAATAACAGGAGCCGAGCTTGATGCTTTTGCACTCATTTTTCTCTTTGTCATCTGTCTTATATATGTTTGTAATTCTCCAGCACCTGAAGTTCTTGCCACATCTCCCCATGTCAATCTATCATCTTCAAATACAAGCTCGTCTTTAGCATCTTACAAGTTAGCGCCTATTTCTCTCACCAACCACTCATTTGAATCATCAATATCTTGCAATGAGATTTGATCAATTCTATTTTATAAATCATAATGAGCCTTCAAAGCTTGATTATATTTTATGTAAACAAGATCATGCAATCGTTGATGTTCCAACCGATTTCTTCTCTTTGAGTGAATCTGTCATGTCATATAATTTAAAATTATATTAATACATCTATCTAAATAAATAAATAAATTAAAACAAAAATATTTAGTGATATTTACATGCTCAAAGATACTCCAGTTTCGCTCACAACCCGAAGCACTACATGTCAAACTAAGTATTTTGATAGTAAATTGCTGTAAGTTCGAGGTGGAATTTCCAAATAGACTCCACCATTCAGCTGCAAAATTTATGTTATTAGTAATAACATATTAACATAATATATATGAAATTAATTATATCAAATTATTAATACCTGGAGACATAGTTGTCCTGGATCGAACGACTATTGGAATTCCAAAAGGACCTTCAGCATTTTTATATAAAGATAATTCATGAATAATCTTATCTTGAACCTCAAGGCTGGGAACTAATCTTGCAACGCACTGATATAACCCATCCAAAACTTTTGCATCAAACCAACATATTTAATCTTACAAAAGAATTCAGGGTTCAAATAATATCCTGCTGCATATAAGGGACGATGAAGTTGACAATTCCATCTTTCGTTAATGATTGTAAAAATTTTCTCATATTTTTTTTTCAATTTTTTAAAAGATCTTTTAATCGTCTCCGTTGCTTTATTCATAGCCTCATAAATATATCCCATTGCAGGCTTATTTTCATTATCCACCAATCGAAGGACTCGAACAAGAGGGCCCATTATCTTTAATATATAAACTACATGATTCCAAAAGGATAACATTAAGATGATATCAACAGCCCTCTTGCCTTTTGCTTCGTTTGCCAATTTGCTTGTCACTCATTTCTCAGAGGTAAACATGTTTCTCAGATTATGTTTTTGACGATGCACGCTCTGTAATGTCGATGAAGTAGCAAATCGGGTGACACCATATCTCATTAATTCTTTGTCCCTGTAAATTCTCTCATCATATTCAAAGCCCTAATATGATTATAAAGAAATCCAACAACAAAAATTGCCCTTTCTAATGTTTTCTTGATGTCTAAGATCTTTCCAATATCCTCCAACATTAAATCAATACAATGTGCTGCACATGGAGTCCAATATAAGTGTTGTCTTTTTGTTTCAAGTAATTTACCTGAGACAAAGGATAACAAAAATGATAAGACTTAAGAGTTTAACATATTTAATTGAAGATAAAATAATTAACAAATTTAAAAGATGAATATTACCGGCTAATACATAGTTGCTTCTATTGTCGGTTATGATTTGAACGACATTTTGTTCTCTAATTTCTTCCATGAAGTTGTCAAGTAAATCAGATATCTTGTCTCCAGATTTTACAAAAGATGAAGCATCTATTGACTTCACAAACATAGTCCCTAAAGAACAATTAACCATAAAATTAATTATACTCCTACGCCTCCTGTCAGTCCAAACATCTGACATAATAGAGCAACCATGTGTTGCCCATGATTCGACCCTTTGGTAAGTCATTTGTATAATTCAATTCTTTTTGTAACAATGGAACTCGCATCTCATAATAACTTGGAGGTTTTAATCTTGCACCATATCTTCCAATAGCTTCAATCATATCCTTAAAATTGTCTAAATGAGTTGTACTAAGGGGAAGACCAGCCTGATAGAAGAAGCGAGCAATGTGCTGAATTGTTCTTCCTCTTATTTCTTTATCACAAGCATCACTTATATTTGTTTGTTTAAATTTTGAGCCTTCTACTTGCCTTTGTTTCTGGGATCCTTGAAACATATATAGATCCATCGGTCCTTTTTTATCCTTCTTAGTACTCATAACTTCTTTTCCTTTTTTGTCGTATACTTTTATCCCACTTGGGTTAACACTCATAGAATAATCTTTTTCTTCATCCCTGAGATGTTCAACATTGTCTTTTGATAAATTCCCGTAAGATTCATTCTTTTGTGTCTTCTTTTCATTCATATAACTCAGCAACTCTTCTTTTACCTCAAGTGGACACATTTTGCAAGTTGCTGTATTATTGAAATTTTCTACTAGATGTTGTTTTGCACAAAAAATACCACCTCTAGTTGTCTTATCGCAGAATATGCAAGTCACTGCATTAGGATCTTTCGAATCCTTCAGATAATTATACTTTTATGCAGGATCGTTTTTTTATACGATTGGAGACTCTATTGAGTTGCTCTGTACACTTACCATTTATCTTGAAACCTAACAATAATTTCAAATAAATAAAAATTAATAGTATTAAAATCAAAATAATATATTATTAATCTAATAAATACAAATATTATTATTAAAATACTGTTAACTGTATACTGTTAATAGTATACAGAAGGAGAAGAAGGAAGAGGAGTGTAAGGGGGTGCTGACTGAGAAAAGAGGAAGCGGCAGCGGGAGCGGCGACAGCGGCAAGCAGCGATAGTGGCAGCGAGCAGCGGGAGTGGGAGCAGGAGCGGCGACAGCGGTAGTGGTAGCGAGTAGTGACAGCGGCGAGCAGCGGGAGCGGGAGCGGCAGCGGCAACGAGTAGGGTTAGGGTTGGGCAGCGACAGTTGATATCGGTTTTAGTTGGTTCGATTGAATCAACTAAAACATCGGAGACCGAACTAGACCTAAAATCCTGGTTCGGTCGCCTGGTTTAACCCAGGCGCTCGCCCGAAGCGCCCAGCGCCTGGGCTCGGGCGAGCGCTCGGCGCCTCTTTGAAGCGCGCCACTTGGAAGTGAAGCGAGGCGCTCGGGCCTCACTTCGCCTCGCCCGAGCGCCTTTTTAAATCATTGGTATGAATGACCTTTTATGTGAAGAAAAGGGTGCAAGTTTTTATCTGACACGATTAGGAAATACTTCATATGTTATCCCACAGGTTAATGCCTTTTGATGTTCTGAAAGTCCAGGATTAAATTACAAAGGATACCATAGGAGTAAGAGCATTACAAAATACAAATATAAGACTTCATAAAGAACATAAGATGCATTGTCAAGTGTCAACACACTCTGAAGTTTGCTTATGCTTGTATATGTTAAATTACCTAGTATGTAATTGAAAATCTTTATAAAGTTCTGATGCATATACTTGGATCAGAAATGATCATCACATCCCTTATTGACAAGGTCTTGGGAAGATTCAAGGGTCGCACAATAACCTCCTTTCCCAAGCTGGTAAATTGGTTCTTATAAACTCGGTTATAAATTCACTTCCAACTCATTTTTTTAGCCCTTGGATTTCTAACAAGCTGATTTTTAGATTCTCCAAACTCTCTTGAGACTTCTTTTGGAATGATAACCAGAATCAGAACAAGATGCATTTGATCAATTGGGCCAACATGACCCTCCCCAAGGAGGAAGGGGGTTTTGGTATCCGGGATCTTAAAACTGTTAAAAAAGCTATTTATGTCAAACACATCACTCCAATCCTAAACTCTCACAATGTCCTCTAGGTCAATGTTTTCCTTGCTAAATATGGTAACCTTCACCCTTGGGTTTTCTTAGTTCGTAATAGAACTTCCCCAATGTACAGATCTATCCTTTATCTGACTTCAAGCATTAAGGATGGTTTTCGGAAACTTATAAACAGCAGTTGTAACACCAAGATCTGGGAAGACCCTTGGCTTGACAATATTCCATTTAACAAATGGCTCATATTTATTGGAATGGATGTATTGAGTAATTACTAGTTTGTTTCTTATATTATTTCTAACACTCATTGGAATGTTACAACTCTTGAAACTTTGTTTCACCCTTGTTTCATGGTAGTATCCAATCCATTCATCTCCCCCAGCATCCTGGCATTAATTTCTATGTTTGTACCTTTAATCCTTCAGGCGGTACAATAGTGAATAGTTCCTATGGGCATCTAACTAGATACTACACCTAGGAGGCTCCTTGGCAGGGCTGGAAGGCGATCTGGCGCCTTAGGATTGCTCCAAAGATTAAAATTTTCCTTTGGAAGTTTTCTTGGAACCAATTGCCAACCTCTAGCTTTATCTTCAGCATCATCCACTGTCAACTAGACCAATGCTTTGTATGTCATTTATATACTGACTCAACCACTTTCATTCTCTTTGATTGCGTTTTCGCCCAAGCTTTCTGGGATTCCCTACAGCAGCTTTTAAACTATCGATTGCAACTTGTTTTCCTCCTGGTTTCAAGGAGATTGGTTTGAGGAAGGTTCGTCCTCTGAAGTGTCATCCCTACAGCAGCAGTTAGATGCTGGTTACCCATGTTGAGCAATCTTGTCATGGATCCAGGGCTCATCCTCTGAAAATATTTTAGCAAGAACATGAAGAAACCACTTATTCCAATAGGCATTATTTGTCTTGTTTATTTTTGAGACTAGAATGATGCCAAATCCACCATCTTAAATGCCATATCTAATGAATATTATGCTGTATCATCATGATTGTAAACTTTTATCGAAACAACTTCTTAAGATAATTGTACTGATGATGATAACTTGAACTATTTCTGTTGCTTTGTTCAGGTCCTTTGATGATACCATAGGCTCAAGCAAGCAAAATCTTGATGTAGCGCCAGGCATGCCAAACATGAGAGATAATGTGAAATTTGATAGTTTCACATTAAAAGCTCCTACTGATACGCAAGAGAATTTTCATACTGAATGCTCCCGGAACAAAGAGAACAGAGTTGCAATTAAGACATTAATTCTCTTCGAGGATGTGGATACTGTTTTTGAGGAAGACTGTGGTTTTATATCTTCTGTACTTCAACTGGCAGAAACTGCAAAACGACCTATAATACTTACAAGCAATAGTGAGTTTGTGGTTCATATCTAAAGAGTTTCTTTATCAAGTTATATCCTGTTATGCATTATTAGTTTTGTCAACTTGATGGGCAGGCAAGAATCCTGTCTTACCCCCACTATTGAATCGGCTGGTTTTAAATTTTGAGCTACCATCAGCTGCAGAGCTGTTTTGGCATTTATATATGGTAAGAGATTCAACTTCAATGTCATGTATTCCTTTTGTTCAGAAGAGCACCTTGGTCAAAAAACTGTCTACTGATTAATTGTATCGTACTACAGATTTGTGCTTCTGAGAAGGCTCAAATTTCAGCCCACCTACTGGAGCAATTAATTATATCATGTCTAGGTGATATTCGTAAGATCATCATGCTGCTTCAGTTCTGGTGCCAAGGTAACAAGTATCATGTAGGTAAGTAGCTACTCCTGTTATATGCAATGAACTTTTTTACATGGAAGTATGGAACCATTTTGTGGCATAAGAAAGTCTTCATCTTGGACATTGTACTACCTGAACTTGGTGAGATTGAACTTCTTTGTTTGTTTAATATATTTTTTTGTATACAACAACAAAAACAAAGTCATTAAGTCTCAACTATTTGAGGTCGGTTATATGAATATTTTGTCATCATTAAGATATGTAAAAGGCCATATATTTAGTTAAGTTTAGAGTACTTAAAATTTTTATTTATAGTTTCTATTAAAGTTTGTTTAGATTTTCTTCTATCTCTCCTCGTACCATTAACATTAATCATTTCATTTCTTCTGACTACCGCATCTGAAGGTTTTCTAAGCACATGCTTATATCATCTTAAACGATTTTCTCTTATTTTATCCTCTATCGAAGCAATACCTAGTTGTTTATGAATAAAAATATTTATTTTCCTATCTTTCCTAATAACTTCATACGTCTTTCTTAATATTCTTATCTTGGCTACATAAATTTTTTGTATATGTTGTTTCTTAATTGCTCAACATTCAGATATTTAAAGCATTGTTGGTCTCACAATCGTCTTATAAAAGTTTTCTTTTAATTTCAAATGTATTTGATGATCACACAAGACTCTTAATGCCCCTCGCTATTTTAATCATTCTGTTTTCACTCCATGAATAATATATTTATCGATCTCTTTATCGTGTTGAATAATTGATCTAAAATACCTAAAACTTTTATTTAAAGAATTTTTTGTCCATCCAATTTAACTATATTCTCCTATCTATTTCTAGAATTGTTAAAATTATATCTTATATATTTAGTTTTAGTTTTACTTAATCTAAACCCTTTAGTTTCTAATGAATGCCTCCATAGCTCAAGTTTATAATTAATTTCACTTAGGCTTTCATTAATTAAGATAATATCATCAGCAAATAACATACGTCAAGGAGGTTTATCATGTAAATGGCTAGTAAGTTCATTCATTATCAATGTAAAAAGATAGAGACTTAATGCAGATCCTTGATGTAATACTATGCTAATAGGAAAATTCATTAGACACACTTTCTATTGTTTCAATACTAGCAACATTATCATACATATCTTTAATAACATCAATATAATTAGTGGATACATCTTTTTTTTTCTAAAACCCACTATAATAAATATCTAAGAACCCTATCATAGGCTTTTTCTAAGTCAATAAAAACTATATTGCCTTTTCTTATGTATGCAAAGTGATATATGACGAGAAAAGGCTCACGAGCTTGGAGACTAGGTTGGTTAACTAAAACATATCCTACACTGATCTCTTGGTCAAGTTTATGTAGATCATGCCACTCTCTTATTTCTCAACGTGTTTGCTTTTAATTACTGAAGACTTTAAGGAATGTTTAGTGTCATGGATGTCCCCGTAATAGTTGCATTTTCTGTATTAAGCAAGCGAACAAAGTTGATCGAGAGATTATTGGTTTTCATATTATTAGTTAATTCATGCTAGTAGAAGGAGCATTATCATAACACAAAAGAGCACAGATATGCTATGGATGCATCAACTCATGCTAGTAGCAACTGTAAACCTAATTTTAACTGCAAGCAAGCATTTACATTTTGGAGGTTTGAATGGTGTACCATAACCCTGATTTAGCTGTCATTCTGATATGTTGCATTCAGTGATCTTTTTCTTTCAGTGTTTCTTATTGATAAATTATGTGACAAGCATTATTTAATATAAGTTACCAAAATGTACTGTTTTCTATATCGTGTTTTCTTATAATCAGCTGTTTATGAGTTCCATTCCTACTATCCAGTCAGGAATTTACACACCTGCAGTCCCCTTCAATTTGACATAGACACTGTGCATCTGATAATTCCAAGAATAATTCCTTGGGGGTTTCAGTGTGAGTTGTCAGAAAAGGTGGCGGATGAGATCAGCAGATCAATGTTTTCAATGGAAGACAACTTAAAGTTACTGGAATTCAAGCCAGCAGAAAAGGTTGGTTCTGCAAAAGTTGAAAAAATCCATAATGTAATCAACAAGAGAAAGAAAAGCAAATTAAAGAGGAAGCAGTCAGATCTAGACTCTACAGAGTTTCCAGCAGATGCCAAGGATCTTGATGACTTCTCTGATGCTTCGGAGTCATTTGCAAGATTTGATCAACAACAAAGAACTAGGCAGAGGGCTCATATCGTACTGTCTTCCCAGTCTGATGACGAACCAAGTGCTGTTGAACTTCAACCTGCAGAAATTGTGTCAGCTGATCTAAGCTATTGTCCATTGCCAGACATGTCCAATTTGTGCAGCTTACAAACTCTGAAAGTTGTAAGCCCGCTGAGGCCACTAGCTGATTTAGAATATCAGTCTCAAAGGAATTGTATTCAGCCTCTACTGGAAAGTTCTGATATTGCATCTGTTTCACATATCTGTGACACATTCAAAGTGCAGGAAGTGTCGTGCGTTCCTGAATCTTCTTTTATAGCTGAATCTGACATCAGCAGGAGAGACAATGCCATATCTATGGCAGTATCTTCCAATACCATAGCTGTTAATTTAATTGATTTACTTAATCCAATACATGAGTCACCAGGAGAAGTTAACAATTTGACTGCATCCATAACTGAGGTCAATTTGTGTCCTGTCAGCAATATAAATGAGGTTGATGCTGAATCAGTTTATGGTAATGAGGAGCTAGGTGATTCCCAAAATGGGGTTCAATTTCCAGCTAATGGAGATGGAATTGAGCTTCCAGCTAGTGGATATCAATTTATGGATGAATGTAGCCGAGCTGATTTTTCCATTGGGTTAGTTCCTGGGAGATGTGAAAGATCTCCACGTGTCTTTTCAGTTCAGGAAACATGGCGAAGATTACGTAACCAGCGGGAAGAACTAAGAACATATTTAAGCAAAAACCAGATGGAGTACTCGGTTGTGGACCTTGCTTCTGGACTTACTGACTTGATCTCTGAAACTGATATCATGTTCAGTCGCTCTAACCCCCTCATAAATGTAAGATGCTTTGATCTTCTTCATTCTAGATATTCTGGATATTTTAATTTCCTATATGTGAGAACATTCTGATCAAGTTAGATATATTTGTACAGGACATTCTGGAGCCATCATTAATACCCTCTGTTGAGCCAGATGATTTTTCCTGGTATGATAGGCAATATGAGATGGGATCCACATACGTTCAGCATGGTCTATGTCTTTACACAGATAAATGTGCCAAGACATGCCCAGATATGGTCTTTATGGAACCGGAGACTCTAGTATTGGAGATGCTGGCCTCCAGCACTAATGCTATGGCTATGGGAAAGCTACTCAGCCTGGAAAGTACCAATACACGGAACTTGTCTAATCATGGTTTGAATTTAAAGGAAATAGGTCATGGCATTTCCTTAGAAAGGTTTGTTCTTATTCCTGATTAAACAACATCTGAATATTTGCATATCGGCTATGTATGCTTTATAGCCAAAAAGCTATCTTTACTAGTTCAAATCATTTGGATTTTCAGTTTAATATCTTTGAGAGTTCAGCTCATCTACTCAGAATGATTGTAGCCTCTTGTGATGTTGGTTGAAAGTGGACAAAATAGTCGATTAACAATGTGAGGTTTCCATTTAATCTAATCATGAAACTTTTATAAAGTGACTGCATTCCAAAAGAATGCAAGTCTAAATTCCTATCTTTAATGAATTTCAAAAAATTTCAAAATTAATTTATTCTTGGCAATGTTTCCTTTCTATGGGCATTTTAGAAGATAAGACGCTATAAAGAGCAAGTTTTGACTTAGTACACTCCATTAGATGGTTTTTAGACACCAATGCAGATATAATTTTATTCCTAAGTGTAACGTGTCATATATTTTGCTTTTCCATAATTGCTTCTAGATATCTACTTGCGTTACTAACTAGTAAAAGATCAATTTTCTTTTACCTCTGACTGGATAAGATCTATTTTGTTTATGTTGAGAATATTTGTTGAAAGTAGTAATAACCGAGGTCTTCAATTTCGGGCGGTAATTAGTATCAATATATCGTTCGATATATATATATATATATATATATCGAACGATATATCGCTCGGTATATAGTAGATAGTACTGTACTGAGCGAATGTCGAAACTTCGGTACGGTACGATATTTCAATCCTTGGTAATAACTGTGACACCCCTTGATGGAAAAGCGTTGGATGCCGTGGTTCTAATGTTGGCATCTCCTGCTAAGCTTTTGAAAAACACCCATGTGTTTTGATGCCTTATCTTCTATATAATTGTACTTTACATGCATGTGCTTGCACACATATATGTATGCATGTTGCTTTTCATAAAGAGAGTATATTGCTAAGCATTTTGGCTACTTGGCTGCTACTGTGCAGGAAACAACAATGTGCTCTTATGGATGCTCTTCTTCCTTTAGTTCCTGCTAGGTTGTCAATGACCCTCAGAGGCTCTGGGTTCCACGATTACTTGTCCTTTACAAGCCGCATATCCCGATTTGAGAGTGCACGGATCTCAGAGAGCATGAAGGAAAACAGTCACCGAAGGTAATATCAATACTGAAATCCCTTTTCCTGTGAAATCTCTAGCAGCAAAAGAAACATTTCTGGAGGAACTGATATATAGCAATTTAGTCATTAATCTGAATAATTCTGTGGCCACATTGAGCTATCTAAGTATAATCCTGATTGACGGATTGGCACAGATCTAGGCTGATAATTTATGCCCGGACTTAGTTTGGATATGATACTTCGTGAGTGATAGAGTCTGGCCAATTACCAAGTTCAGTAAAATGTGCATTGATCTTGATCCATTTCGATGTGGTTAATCTAATTCTCTGTATCATGCAGGTCTCGAGATTTACGGCACTATCTAAGCTCTGGCTCCCTTTTATTGTCTCGTGAGGATGTGGCATTGTTGGCTCGAGCCTGCTGCTTCAAGGAGGCAGTGCCTTAGGTCGAATTTGTTGATGGCTGCAATATAAATACAAATACTCACGCATTCAGTGTTGAGCTTTATTTTGATTTGGAGGTAGCTGATGAGAAGCAATTATTCTATTTATATAATTCCTTGTGTATCCTAGGGAAGGCGCTCGCATGTATATTCTTTAGCGGGGGGGTTGTATAGTAAAAGGCTGATATAATTCAACTAACCTTGTCTGCTAATATGTAAGCATCCTCTGTAAAGCGCAGGATATATAACATTTCATCATTCACAGGTTAGGGTCTTGTAGTTGAGGATCTTTTGTTGATTTGGGAAAATATTATGACAAATCAATTGAATTTATGGCTGGATTTATTCAGTGGAAACATAACACAGCTTGCAGGTCTTTTGTGCTCTAAAATGTTCTTATCCAGCACGTGCTCCAGTATATGCATGTAGTCTGTAGGTTACTTTTGTTGTATGCTTTATAGTCTTACGTCGCGTGGTCACTTGCGGTTGATAGATTGATGGAGCACCCAAAGCTTGTAAAGTTATCTTTATTCTCTGTTTTGGTTGTGCGATTTTGATATTTATGGTTCTGTCGAATAGTATTTTTTTTTTAAATGAAAGCAATCTTCATTATATTAAATTTATTGTATATATATTGTCTTAAATAGTAGTAGTTCCTTAAATTTGAGTAGGCTTAAATTGAAAGAAATCTTTATTCTCACGTGGGATTCGATGGACTGGTTTGAAGTGTTGTGGTTCATTAGTCGTCTCTTTTGTACTTCTAATGTGGGATTCGTTGGACTGGTTTTAAGTGCATCCATTCCATGTGTCGTCGTCTTGGCTTCTCAATCTTATGGCTAAAGTTTGGAATAATTTACACAGCACTTAGACCATTAAATATGGGTCAACACCGTGAGCCATTGAAATGTCTGGAAAACTGAGCACCAAAACCTATAATCTAGAAGAAGAATCTAGGAAATCTCCGAGACTTCGGTGGCATACGACCCAAAACCTATAATATAAATAGCCAACATCGCGCTTCCTCTCCTCTCAACGCTGTTTGAGCCCGCCATTACAAGTTGAACAGAGATGTCGATCGTCACGTGCGGCAACTTCTTCAATCCCTTCTCCCTCGACGTTTGTGACCCCTTCGATGCCTTCCGTTTTCTCGCTGAGATGCACTCCGACTTCAGCTTTTGCCAACACCCGCGTCGAGTGGAAGGAGACACCCGAGGCGCACCTCCTCAAGGCGGACCTCCCTGGGGTGAAGAAAGAGGAGGTGGAGGAAGGCGAAAGGGTCCTCCAGATCAGTGGCGAGCGGCACAAGGAGGAGAAGAGAGACAAGTGGCACCGCATGGAGCGGAGAGGCGGTAAGTTCCCGAGGAGGTTTCGGCTGTCGGAGAAGCAAGGGTGGATCAGGTGAAGGTGTTTGATATGAAGTACGAAGATGTTATATGTGTTTGATATGCTCTCCATTTATACACGAGGGAGGAAGGATTTTCTCGTATAGTTGAAAAAATTTTAGTTGTTATCAAGGAAAATCTTAGCTGCTATCATGCCCCCGTAAAATGATACTCCTATTGTGAGTGAGTTTATTAGTTGATCAACCATATGTAAGTGAGAAACACGTAGTTGATGTTTGACAACTTATTCTCGCACAAAGTGAAAATCAATGGCTATATGTTTCGTGCGTGAGTGGAATATTGGATTATGACGTATGGTAAGTGGCTCCGACATTATCACAATATATTATAAGAGTAGAGGTGAAGTTGATGTCAAGTTCCTTGAGTAGATTCGTGACCCAATTGAGTTCTGCAGCAACCGTTGCAACGACATGATATTGCTTCTGTCTTTTGCTTCTGACATAACATGATATTGCTTATGACATGAGTTATGCAGCAACTGTTGCAATGGCACGATCTATAATTCAGTTTTAATTATAGATCGTGCAATTGTCTTTTACTTCTTAGAACTCCAAGGAAGATAATATATCTCGACGTGGATGTTCTATCATCAAAATTTCCTGCCCAATCAGCATCAACAAAGGCATAAAGATGAATCAGAGAGTATTTATAGAAAAAGAGGCCATGATTGAGAGTCCTGAGAAGATATCGCAAATTCGTTTAACTACAGACCAATGCATAATAGATGGCCGATGCATGAATTATGATAATTTATTGACTGCAAATGAAATATCTAGACGAGTGAGAGATAAGTACTATAAGGAGCCAAGTACTTACCGGTATTGAGTTTTGTCCGTAGCAGGGCTTCCATCATATAGTTTGAGTGACTCGCCAATAGACAGAGGAGTTATAACTGCTTTTGCATCCTGCATGTTCATCTTTGATAATAGATCTTGAATATACTTTATTTGTGATAGGAAGAGTCCTAAAGATGTATATGTTGCTTCCACTCCCTAAAAGTAGATCAAGGTTCCTAGATCTTTGAGGTAGAAATGATATGTCAAATGCCTAAGGAATGTCTTGATTTCTAGAGTGTTGTTGACTGTGACAATAATATCATTCACATATACCAGAAGATATATTGTATTGCTACTTTGGTGATGGAGAAATAGCAAGGTATCAAATTTGGAGTTGATGAAATCATTTGATGTAAAAAACGAGCCTGACGAAGAATGGACGGTAGAAAAAGCTATTCTTGGAGCTTGACGAAGTCCATAAATAGCTTTTTCTAGTTTACAAACATGCCTTGGATACTGAGGGTGGATAAAGCCAGGAGATTGCTATTGAATCTCAGATTTTGATGATGAAATCAATTGATGTGTTTATGATCTAATCTGTATTTTGAGTAACATAGGAAGCTTCGATCAGGGAGAGACAATTAAAGCAGGAAGAATCATGTTGTGCAGAGTGGCACATTTTAGAAGAATGGACGTCGAGCGGAAGGATCGGTCGACGTATCGGTAGAAGGCTTCGGGCCATAGGTTCTGGCATTCGGCCAAAAAGAGCGAAAATTGTGCAAATGAAATCGAAGTTATAGAGGTCAATTGGCCGATTGGGCAATAGGTCGGAAGAGAGGACGATACGCCAAAGAATCAGATGAGGCATCGATGAACCAATGATATGCAGAATAACATTTGATTTAGCTTTGTAATAATTGTCTAAATCGAAATAGGTTTTAGACATAATTGGATTGGAATTGTGCCAACTCAATTAGGGTCCAAGTTTGGGCTATGCTGGGCTAAGTGAAAGGCCCAAATAGTGACCCAAACTAGTGGAACCATCGGTGGCACAGTCTCCAAGATTATGTAAGGCGGTGGTACTGTCCAGACTTAGTCTCTGAGACTGTCAAACAGTGGTACCGCTAGTCTAGGCGGTGGTACCACCCAAACACAATCTCCCAAACAGTGGTATCGCCAGATTGGACAGTGGTACCGCCTAGTGTTAGTGCTGCAGGCGGTGGTACTGCCAAGGCCCAAGAAACCTGGGATGAGACCTTTTTTGGCTCTAATTTGAAGCCATTAGTCTATAAATACCTAGCTATTCTTGTATGGAGTAGTAAGAATTGAGCACAAAATTGAGTTGAAGAAAGGAGAAAAATACTTGAGAAAAATTTGGAAACTCTCTTAGGATTTAGGATCACTTCATCCTAGTATTTAGAAGTTCGTCTCATGGGAGAAATGAGGTCTAAGAAAGAGAAGCTTGTAAGGGTCGTCTCCTAAACCCGTGAAAAGGAGAAAAAGTGTAAAAGGGTAGTTGATCTTCGCTCATTAAAAGAAGATCATTAGTGGATGCTGGTGGCCTCGATGGAAGAGGAATCGAGAGTGGATGTAAGTCACGATAATCGAACCACTATAAAACTTGGTTTGTATTTCTATTTATACAATTTACCTTTACTGCAAACTGCCATATATATATATATATTTATATATATTTGTATATATATATATATACAAATATATATATATATATATATATATATGTATATATATATATATATATT